AAAAAAAATTACATATTGATAAAACCCTAAAAATGATTCTATGACCTTAATTTGGAATAAGATTATTTGAAACAATATATTATGGGCAGGCACAGAGCGAGACACAATGGAGGACAGTAAACTACATGCTTAAAATCATTTTCGCTCAGGAATTTAAAAATTATCCTTTTTTTTCTGAATCTATCTTAAATACACTGATCAGTTTTATGGATTTATTATTCACACCAGTGCTGCGCCCTAACTGTATTGCTAGCTATATTTTCTTTTATTTATTTTGTTGAAAAAATTTCCGCCTCCTCCCCGCCTCCCATTTCCTTCCCCCTCCTCCCCCTCCTCTCCCCCTCCCCCCAACTCCATTCCCCTTCCCTCTCCGTTCTGAAGAGCAGTCTGGATTCCCTGCCCTGTGGGAAGTCCAAGGTTCTCCCCCCTCCATCCAGGTCCAGGAAGGTGAGCATCCAAACAGGCTAGGCTCCCACAAAGCCAGTTCATGCAGTAGGATTGAAACCTAGTGTCATTGTCCTTGGCTTCTCATCAGCCTTCATTGTCTGCCATGTTCAGAGAGTCCGGTTTCATCCCATGCTTATTCAGACCCAGTCCAGCTGGCCTTGGTGAGCTCCCAATAGATCAGCCCCACTGTCTCAGTGGGTGGGTGCACCCCTCGCGGTCCTGACTTCCTTGCTCATGTTTTCCCTCCTTCTGTTCCTCATTTGGTCCAAATGCTAGCTATATTTTCATCAGGTATCAATTACACGAACCGCAGATAATGTGATTGGTAGAAAACCTTCAGCATCTTGGATAGAACTATGCAAACCTGGAGGAGAGAGTTTCCCAGTCAATAGAAAGTCCTAAGATGGAGTGTTCGTGCCTTTGATGGTCATCACCAAGATTTACACAGTGAGAGGTGAGAGCCATAACATGCTGGAACTTGGCCCATGATGGCTTTTCCTGAGCCACTTGCCCCTAAAGTTAAACTCATATTTTCCAAATGTAAATTCCTTGGCTTCTTGCTCTGCCACAAGCCTGGTAAGTGTGAAAAACCACAGCCTCCAGGGGTGTTCAGGAAAAAGGAGAGGTAGCGAGTGGCAGCAATAAAGAGAGGAACTTAATTTTCTAATTCTACCTTATCCTTTTGGTGGCTGTTAAGATTACCCCCTGTTTTATCAACTTTGAAAGGGAGAAAATTAAATGTGTTTTGTCTTTACACTGTATTTTGAGGTTTGGTACTAATTATTTGCCTTCAGTGTAAGAAGTTTTAAAACCTTGTCCTGGGGAATTAAATAATTCATCAACATATAGTACAACACCAATACCAGAAAGTAAAATCAACTAATTGAAAACGAGCAAATATTTTCTACATTAAAAGCAGGATGTAGGGCTGAAGATACAGCTTGCAACACAAGAGTGAGGACCTGAGTTCAGATCCTCAGAATCAGCAGGGGAGCCAGTGTAAATAGAAGAAAGGGAGGATCAACACACAAACACTCCTCTGCCATCATGCACTGTGGTACCCATGTACCAGAATTCCCACAAAGGAACACACACACAGACAAACCATACATCCTATAGTAAAGTTGTATATGTATGTGTGTGTGTGTTTAAAGCAGGAGTCAATTAGTGTTATTAAAAGCTCTGGTCTTTCAATGGGTGTTGAATGAAAAAGTTAACTTTTCTATTCATTGAGTGAAGGGAATAATAAAATTAAAACTGAACTTTCACACCTAAGATTTATCCAACCTCTTTTTTGGTATTTATTAGAAAGGAAAATTGTCCATTTTTTCTAGATAGCATCCCAATATTTTGATCTGAAGTAGCTGCCTTGATAAGGAAGAAACAACATGAAGGAGGGAAACGTACAAAAGGGACGTTCTACTAGGCATAATGTTGTGGGGTTTACGCTGCCACTTTGCTCTTGGGGCCAATATGTGTTGCATGTGTGACAATTACTCAAGCTGGGAATCAAATGCCAGAAGATTAAGAAAGATTTATTAGGGGATAAATGATGTAAGAAAACAATTGTGTCAAATTACTGCATGCCGAAGTTATTCTAAAAGGAAAGTTTTTAAAATAATAATAACAATAGCAAAAAACCCCAATAAAATTAGAGGGTGTGGGAAAGATAAACGCAATCAGAGTTTGGTGAGGAAGCTGGGCCTGGAATCCACTATTCTAGACTTAGGTAAGACCCCATCTTTCAAGCTTCATTGCCAATGACAACTTTCATTTCCTATCATCTTTGAAGGACTTTAATTTTTCTCTTTGCTGATGAATAGGACCGATACCTTCTTGATGTTCCTGCATCAATTTGCTTATATATTTTAGAAATATAAGTAAAGAATATGAAGGCACATAAAAAAATAAGACAGAACCCATAGAATAATACAGGGAGGGTATTCCAGTGATTACTGAAATCACCCACGTTTATTTTTTCACAGCTTTTATACCCAGCATAAATGGGGGGAGGTAACAAAAGACTTTATTAACATGATACAAAGGACAACTCAAACAGTCAACTGCTTTAACACTCTGAGACATCAAATCATTAGCATTCTGTTGTCTAGGTGGAGAAGCTGCTTTAAATCAAGGCTGCTGAAAGCCAGCCCTCCGCAGGTGATGTCATAGTTACAAAAAAAGGAGAAGAAGTATGTTTGCATATCCTGATCATCTTCAGGATTGAATGGAATTATCTTGTGTCAAAAGAACCAAGCAATCACATCCTGAGTTGGGATGTGCAAATATGCTTGTCAATCACTTGAATAACCTCCAGACTCTGACTGTCAGACAAAGTGGAAATGGCCCACATGTCTCAGCTCCACATTCTTTACTCAACCTGACGCACTGGCAACATCACAGGCAAGGTGTTGACATTGGTAGCCACGATACAGCCATTCTGTCACCACCAACGTTACTCTGGCTGCCATTTCTAAATGTGTGGACTTCCTTACCTCACCCATACTGGTTCCTGAGAAGCTCTGCTAACCACCAGTCAACTCCTCTCCACTCCCGTGACTTTGAAAGGCATGCCCAACGATATAGACAGGAAGTGTGTGAAGCCCTCAGCACCACACCTGGCACCTGTGAGGAGGGTGAGACGGAGGCTGTTCCTGCTGTAATAAGGTAATGTTAAAATGTCATCCTAAGAAACCTAATTATAGGACCTGCAATGCGGCTCGGAAGATTAATGCTCTTGCAGCCTAAGCTTGACTACCTGGGTTTCATTCCTAGGACCCATGTAAAGTTAGAAGGAGAGAACCTATTCTACACGGTTATTTTCTGACCTCCACACATATACTGTGACACACGCACACACACTATACCCAGCATACATAGACACACACACACAAATAATAAAAAAATAGAGCTAATTTTAAATAATTATAAGAGCATATATATTGCCTTCTTCAGTAATCAAGCTGTTATGGATGTCAGAGAAAGCCCATACGGAGAAGAAGTCTATCATCTGTAGAGTGATACAGTGTATTTTGTCCCAATAAATGTTGACTTACTGTGGACTGAGTCCACAGATTAGAAAGTAGGAAAAAAGGACAATGGGCAGCTGTGATGACCTTTCGTGGACAGACATCTCAGAACACCAACCGCTATAAAACTGTCATCACAAGCCCACGTTCCTTGCCAGCCACTGACTGGAAGGCAAGGATTTTAGGCATGGAAAAAGTCCTATTCATAAAGCCAGCAGTCCAAAGATGTGGGCGCTCACTAGCTTAGGTCCTGTGGGTGCACGGCTCGGAGAGGAATTTTAGGGGCGTGTCAGATAGGTGGGTTCCAGGATAGTCACAGATTTGAGTGGTCTCCTTTTCTAATGCACAAACTGCTATATCCTGGGAGGGGCTGGGGGTGGTCACTAGATGTCCTGGCTTTTTGAAATGTAAAGAAAATTTAGTTATTAGAAAGTCTTGTGCCAGCTGGGTGTATGGGTGTGCACACTTTTAATTCCAGCACTCAGGAGGCAGAAGTAGGGAGATCTCTGTGAGTTCGAGGCCAGCCTGGTCTCCACAGTGAGTTCCAGGACAGCCAGAGCCACAAGGTGAGACTCTGTCTTGAAAAAAAAAAAAAAAAAGCTCAAGTCTTTTTAGTTCTTCTCAAGCATAAGTGGTACTGCACTTAGTCATTAAAATGTATATATTTAATAGGAGAACAGGGAGCGTTGGTCCCCTGATGAGGTGGAAAGGCAACCGTCAGTAGAAAAGATAGTGAAAAGCAACTTTTCATAGCTATAACCCGCTAGGTGGCTTGGATTAGTGGTGACACCCCCAGCAGTGTCCCCTTCAGCACCTCCAGTCAGTGGGAGACCAACACTAAATATCACACTGTTCGGTTCTGTCACCGCCAACGTTAGGGAGGTGATTTAAACTCTGCTAAAAGCAGGCAAAGCTGGAGAACTTATTGCCCTCGGTTATAATTACAGCTAGAAAAACATCTTAACAGATGAATCTCTGCCTTGTTTCCTAGATGGGAGTGCGAGGCCCTCATAGACCTTAGAGGCAGAGCCAGAACTCAGCTAAGACCATATATTACTTAAGTTTTCTATTCCAAAAAGTTTCAAGAATCAGAAGTAAAAAAGACCGGAACAATGAACTGCTACGTGCTCATGATTCAACTTTGAGAATTATCAATCTCGTTTTCTTCAGAACACCAGTATCGAATGAGTGTGATATCATTTGTGTGCTTCTCGGTGCTATACTAACCAGCGTCTCAGAGAGCAAACCCCAGGCAAAGCACAAAACCAGAAATCAAAAGAAGGATCTAGTGTGAGCGGCAAAGGCAGACAGCCAATTAGTGCCTGAAATGTAGACAATTTTCTCAATTATTTTTTTTTCTTTTTCAGAACAGTAGTCTTGGAAAACACAGACTTATTTTGCAGGGACACTGTTCCTTTAAGTTGCTTACTGATCCCACCCAGATCTTGCACCTTGGCCAAATGCCTAACCACTCTAGTAAACAAGAATAAGAGATTGCAAAAAATTCAAAAGCAAAGACATTATTTCCCAGACAACAGAACGATATCAAAGAGTTAACCACATCCCTGAAAACAGTCGTTGCTGCTTCCATCTGCCGCTCTGGTTTCTGTGGGCATCCACCACATTGGTCTCTCTTTCCTGTTTGACAGACTGCCTAAGGTAAGACACAGCTGCTTGCTTTGGATTCCTTAACTCAGGACGGTCCAGGAACCCTGTGGGGATAGATGGCTGATGTCCTGGTCATGGGAAGGAGCTTATTGAAAACTTTGCCCTCTGCTGTTACTTGCAATCAACTGTTAGATAAACATGAATAATTGCTAAACTAAGCTAAAACTAGCTTTAAAGGTATTTAATTTTTTGTTTTGCAAATTTTATTCTAATTTTATAGTTTACTAAACTGTACTACAATAATGTTAACATCTTTGGGAATCTTTTTCAAGATTTTAAATGAATTTTTACAAAAATACAATATTTTTATCATTTGACTAGTTTAGAAATTTGAATAAAGAATATCCAGTCATTTTATCTTCATGTAGAAACTAGTAAAACCCAAAAACTGAGCAAAATTCACAAAATCTACAGGAAAACATTTTATTCCTGAAAAACTATAAAATATGAAGTCTCTTGAATGCTTTCACCCTGATATTCACTTGAAATTTTAGGCAAAATTTCAAAATGCAGTATTTGCCAGATGATCTGCATTCACAGTGTTTAGCCCATATTACCATAGAGGTTTGCATTTCTTTCATTTAACTAACTCATCTCCGCACCTTCAGCCCATTTGTACATCTTTCTAAAAGAGAAGAACTATTAAAAATTAGAGCAATAGAACATGCTGGAAGTGATCACAAGGGGGTGGCCCTGCAAATGCCAAACAAAGTCAAGGAGTTGAGGAAGGTAATAGACTGGAGAAGCTGGAGACATGGGAAGGCAGGAGAGTGCCCACCTTTGCTTTAGTGGCCAGCAAAGGGCCCTTCGGAGAAGCCACAGCTCCAAGATATTATGGTTAGTTGCAGGGACTGAGTGTCAGTGGCTGTCATACACATGACGGTTTAGCTATACGTTCAGAACTCTGCTCAGGGCCTTCATTTCCAGGGAGGAAAAGAAAGCCATTATTTGATGCCAATAGTCCCAGAGTCCTCTCAGTGTCTCAGTCCCAGAACTTCTGGATGCTCCTCATGCTATGGACTCAGCAAAGAGAAAACACCCGTGTAATGCTGCCACTTTCTTTTGCCCCGTGGAAACGCAGTAGCAGCTCTGTCTAGGTGACTCTATCTTTATACCAACCTTCAGAATAAGTTGGAGTCCTTCCATGTCCTTGATTCAGAAAATGTGCCGTTTGCATGTTCTATTGCCTTAGCTCAGTTCTAGTGAGTTTTGTTGTCTGTTTGTGTTTGCTCTGAATACCCAATCGTCTTCTTGTCTTAGTATACCTGGTCTGAAGCCTGGTTGACATGCAGCCAAGCGTGCTTGGTAGATGGGCCAGCACAGGTGCTTGTTCTTACAGAAGCAGCATTCTCTTAGTAAATGCTGCTGCATTCTATTTGAGGAAGAGTCTGTGGCCTGAAGCCAGCATTGCTTTATTGCCAACCTAACATTCTTGCTTCTTTGGGAGGGGAGGGGTGGTACCCATCTGGCATGTATGAAAGAAGTCAGTCTCCCAGCTCACTCATCATGGCCTTTGCCTTTATTTCCACCCTCTACTGAGCATCTGGAAAATCATGGTCATGAATTTCCTGTTCACATTCTCTGGAGGGAAGGTGCCAAAGGAGGAAACTGTGATTCCTTTTCCAGACCTCCTGGAGTTAATGCAGCCAAAGGAGGCAAGCTCTCAAAACCATGAAGTTTGTTAGCTCTAAATACACTTTTGTTCCTATTCCCTTGGGCATACTGAGCTAGCAACATATCCATCTTCTTTTGTCAGGGAATTCTGGGGATTTAGACATCACTTTGTATATAGCTGGCCATATTAGACTGATACAGATGACTGAGAATTTTAATATAGAATTTGAATTTTTATTGTTTATTTGTGTGGAAAAATCATTTCACTGGGTTGTTCGAAAGGTCTTTTCCTGTTTATTGTTTGGAAGTTGCTTTTAAGCAAATCTATTGGTTTTTGTTCTCACATTCTTTTGATTCATTGGATAGGCAGCTTCACTTTTGAACCCAATGAAGACAAACTTTCCCAAGCAAGAGTAGAAAAGAGAAAGGAGTTATGGGAAGCTGAGGAATAATTTAATTCTGACTTGTTGGTTGGTTTTGTTTTGTTTTGTTTTCCGAGACAGGGTTTCTCTTTGTAGCTTTGGAGCCTGTCCTAGAACTTGCTCTGTAGACCAAAACCAGGTTGGCCTTGAACTCATAGAGATCTCTCTGCCTCTGCTTCCCGAGTGCTGGGATTAAAGGTGTGTGCCTCCACTGCCTGGCCCCTGACTTGAGTTTTGAACTCATTGATGCTGTATGAATAATAGTAAGACTGAAAAGGTAGTGGCTCTTGTAGAAAGGAGCTGCGTGCCTGGCACCCGGCCGCCCGCATGGCTAGCTTATGCCCGAAATAATTACACGGAAACTGTATTCTTTTGAACACTGCCTGCTCATTAGTTCCAGCCTCTTATTGGCTAGCTCTTACATATTGATCTAACCCATTTTTAATATTCTGTGTAGCACCATGAGCTGGATTACCAGGAAAGATCTTAACCTGTGTCTGTCTGGAGTGGGAGAATCATGGCGACTGCCTTACTCTGCTTCTTTCTCCCAGCATTCTGTTCCGTTTATTCCGCCTATCTAAATTCTACCCTATCAGAGGACCAAGCAGTTTCTTTATTAATTAGCCAATGAAAGCAACAAATAGATACAAGACCCACCCCCATCAGGCTCTGTATGATCCACAGGAGGGAAGGATTTGCTAAGAATTACTTATAATGATAATGAATGGAACAAACATTCAGTCATCTGAACTCATTCTGAAGAATCAGCAAATGACAAGGCAGGTACTGTGATGAAACCATAGTCCCCAAATAGAGTGGAACCAAAACACTGATAAATGGCTTTGCTCACTCCCTGCTCTCTATAACGTAATGAGAAATTAGTACTGCCTAAATATAGCTATTGAATATAAGTGAATATTTACTAACAAATGTTTGGTCATGATACTATAACTTGCTTATGTTAGAGACTTTGAAAATCTCATTGTGAGTATTTTATTTGAAATGTGAAGGGATATGTGTGTGTGTGTGCATGAGTGTGTGTGGTATGTGTGCATGCGCACATACATGAGTGTGTGGTGTGTATGCATGAGTGCTTGTGTGGTGTGTGTGTATGCATGAGTGTGTGCATATATGTGGTGTGTGTGTGCATGCATGAGTGTGTGTATGCATGAGTATGTGTCTGTGTTGATATGTGTGTGCGTGTGCATGAGTGTGTATGTGTGGTATGTGCATATGTGCATGCATGAGTGTGTATGTGTGGTATGTGCATATGTGCATGCATGAGTGTGTGTGGAGTGTATGTATGCATGAGTACATGCATGTGTGTTTGGTGTGTGCGTGCATGATTGTGTGCATGCATGTGCATGCATGAGTGAATGTGTGTATGTGGTGTGTGTGCATGTGTGTGTGTATACATGCCTCAGTGTGTGCGTATGCGTGATGTGTGTGTATGTGTGTGTGTGTGTGTATGTTTGAGTGAGCCAGTAGGGGACAGCTTGCTTAAGTTAGTTCTTTTCCTGCACTACATGGATGTTGGAGACAAATTCAGGTCATCATGCCTGGTGGCAAGTGCCTTAACTCACGGAAAGATGTTGCTGGCTCATATGCCAGTTTTTAACTCCACAAACTTGAAATTATATAATAATAATAATAACAATAAATGATAATAATAAATAACCCTTTCTATTATGGTTTCCAGTTTAGTGTTTTTCTGGGATTCCTGAGTGTGCAAATGAGTTGGTCTCTGTTTCCTGTGCCTTCTCTTGGGGCTCTTTTCTGTTTGTTTCTTTGTTTGTTCTGTACAATTCCAATGTGTCAGTTTTTGTTTTATCATTTCTTCTAACATCACATCATGTCATTTTGTAGTCTTTTTGAAGTCTGTTTGTTTTCTAATGGGAGACAGGAAGGAGATCAGTCTGGATGGGAGGGGATATGCAGAAGACTGGAAAGACTGGAGGGAGGGGAAACCACAATCAGAATATGAGAAAAAAGTCTATTTTCAATAAAAGGAAAAATGGTAAACATTACCTTTATTGAAGTATTTATAACTGGATTTTCCATTTCAAGGTGTTACCAGTTGAATGAATTTTCACCATCTCCCATAATGAGGAAGAGAGACGCTGCCTTCTGCCTTCTGCTTTTGCCAGTTTTTATGACTCAAGCAGTGTATGGACAAAGAAAGAAAGCACCAAAGCCAAACACACTGGCAAAGAAAAATGACTTCCGGGGTAAAAATAGAGTGCTTTTAAAAGTTTTACTTTTAGCCTGTGAAAACACTAATATAAAATTTTAAAATAGTGTTTGATGAAAGTAGAAAATCATATGTATGTATGCATGCGATGTTCTATTTGATACGATTATATCATGGTAGTAATAAGTCCTACATATTTAGATTGCCTCAGAGTTTTACAGCACTGTGCATGTATTGCTTCATTTGAACTCCACTTGTGAAATAAGAAGGAGAGAGATAGCCACATCACAGGCAAACAGGTTCAGAGAGCTTACATGGCACCTTCAAGGCCGTAAGCAAATAAACTATTAAGAAACCGATCTAGGCCGGGCGATGGTGGCACACGCCTTTAATCCCAGCACTCGGGAGGCAGAGGCAGGTGGATCTCTGTGAGTTCGAGACCAGCCTGGTCTACAGAGCTAGTTCCAGGACAGGCTCCAAAGTCACAGAGGAACCCTGTCTCGAAAAACCAAAAAAAAAAAAAAAAAAAAAAAAGAAACCGATCTAGGATTCACAGTCAACTCTATCTTCAAATTAAGTTTGTTTTTCTGTTGTTATTCCTGTGATGAATGTGGACACTTTCTCATTTGATTTCAAGGTCCTAAAATGGCACAACCCAAGTACCAAACAGAATATTATTAATTTACCTTTAGACTCTTTTGCCTAGTATTTGTTTAATTTGAAAAATATGTTGTTTTTTCCATTTTTATGCTCTAAGTAGGTTTACAATGCTGAGAATATATGATATGTTTATTTGTTTGGTTTTGTTTTTCATTTTATGAGAGAAAATATTTAGTTCTGTACAAATTAAGCCAAAGTCTCTCAGAAACAAAGCAAACAGCGCACCACATTGGGGTTCTGGTTCCCCTAGGATGCACGAGAAGGGACGGTTAGGTTACACAGCCTTTGTGTTCTCTTTCAGACACCGTTTGCTACATAGACGTTGTCTTTATCTTGGACAGCTCAGAAAGCTCTAAAATTGTCCTCTTTGATAATCAGAAAGCTTTTGTGGACAGCTTGAGCGAGAGGCTTTTCCAGTTGACTCCTGGTCGTTCACTGAAATACGACATCAAACTGGCAGCCCTTCAGTTCAGCAGCTCCATCCAGATTGACCCACCCTTGTCTTCTTGGAAGGATCTACGCACATTTAAGCAGCGGGTCAAATCTTTGAGTTTAATTGGGCAAGGTACCTTCTCTTACTATGCCATTTCCAATGCCACAAAGCTACTAAAGAGAGAAGGGCGTAAAGATGGCGTAAAAGTGGCTTTGCTGATGACTGACGGCATTGATCATCCCAAGAGTCCAGATGTCCAAAGCATTTCTGAAGATGCTAGAATTTCAGGAATATCATTTATCACTGTGGGACTTTCCACTGTGGTCAATGAAGCCAAACTTCGCTTGATATCTGGGGACACATCCAGTGAACCGGTGCTACTACTGAGTGATCCAACCCTTGTAGACAAAATCCAGGAATGCCTGGTAGGTACCTAGAGGATTAAATATATATTTCTCCTTGTATTTTGATAGCTTAGATTTAAGCTCTTTAAGAATAAATACAAAATGTTGACAATGTAGGATTCTCACTGGGTGCAGAACGTGTATCATTCTAGTGCCTCCTTCCACTACCTTGACAATTTAGTGGAAACGTGCGAAGTCCATTCCCTGAAGTTGCATCCCTAACATTGTTACATGGTGAGGCTTTTGGAAAGATTACTTTTAAAGCATTCGCAATATTCTCTTGTCTATTCCTCCTAAGATCATGTACATTGTTGACTTATATTCATTGTGTTATCAACTTATGGTCTTCCTTATTCGTTCTCAATCCTTTCTCATTTCCCACCTGCAGACTTACCTTTGGCTTTCTTACCTATTATATTATTTAAGTATACTTAAATTTTTTATCTTTTATTTCTTATATGTTACAAGCCTGTCTATATTACTTCTCCTATTTCCTTAAAAGCAACCCAAGGGAAGACGAAATTATTGTGGCTCACAAATTGAGGGGCTGGTCTGTCATGGTGCAAAGGCATGGTGGCAGAAGCATAAGGCATCATGGTCATATAGCGTCCATAATCAGAAAACATAAAGAGATGAATGCTTCTGTTAGCTCAGGGTCTTTTATATTCAGGCCAGGGTTCCAGTCCATGGAATGCTGTTGTCTACAGAGAGTGAGTCTTTCTGCTTTAGCTGACCCAGTCTAAAAACTCCTTCATAGACAAGCACGGACATTTGTCTCCTAGGCAATCCTAGGTCCTGTCAAGGTGACAATCAGCGTGAACCACTTTAAAATCACCTGTAGGCAATCAATGATTTTCCCATCAGAGCACGGAAACCTTCTCTTTGTATTGTTAGCTATGGCAGGGCCTTTCTGTGTTGACTGCCCGTCCATCTGTAAGAGCTTCCCCTTGCTGCTTTGGGAAACTAGGAACAACAATCAAAATGAAATCTCTCTTTACAACTTTTCTCAAGGAGAAAACTTCCCGATAGAAGTTGGCTGATTTGTTGTGTTTAATATTGATTTTTTTCTAAAAAAAAAAGCTAATTAAAACTTTTTGCTAAACAGATTGCATTTATACTAAGAGTACACACATACAACAGCAACAACTAAATCAGGAATCTGTGATAGAGTAAAGCTGAGATGGGGGTGGGGAGTATAAAGGAAGAGAGAAAACGAAGAGAGAAAAAGGAAAGGGTAAAATGATGCGTTGTGTATTTAATTTCAAAAGCTTACTTTTTTTTTTTTTCTGGAGAAGGCAGCAAGGCAGAAGTGTCCAATAGGCACTTATCATTTCTCATGAATATTTTCTAAATGTGGCAAAGAAAATTCAAACTTACCCCTAAGATTTTCTTTTGATTCTTCATCCTCACCCCATCCTTTCTCAAGATTTAACTTTTAGTCTCAGTCGAAATCAAAAACATGAAACATGGCTTTCTTCGCAAATACTGTCACATGCAGAGTGCTATCCAGTTCTCCATGTATTTGGTACTGCTCTGAGCACACCTTTGTTATATATAATTCTTTTAAGATTTATTTTATTTTATATGTGAGTGTTTTTCCTGCATGTATGTATACACAGCACATGTCCTAGAAGGTCAGAAGAGAGCATTGGCTCCTCTAAAGCTGGAGTTACAGATGGTTGTGAACCAATTTGTGAGCACTGGGAATCAAACCTGGGCCCTCTGCAAGAACAAGTGCTGTTAACTGTCGAACAATCTCGCTATCCTCTCTATGGCTTATTTTGTTTATTCTATCACTATATTGTGGTGTAGGTTAGTCACAATGTAAGATGATCAATATCACCCCATTTCATTGCCAAAGAGCTGAAAATTTAAGGCTTGTCAAGACTGCAGAGTATATACATTTGCCCTGAAAAAGCATGTTTATAGATATGAGCCACCATGTGGTTGCTGGGAAGTGAACTCAGGACCTTTGGAAGAGCAGCCACTGCTCTACTCTCTGAGCCATCTCTCCAGTTTCGAAAGAGCATATTTAAAGAGGACATCACAATGAATTTCGGAAGCTTGCTCAATCAGAACTGCCCCCAAACTAGCAACACCACTCTTCCAACGACACTATTGTTTCTCACTCCTCTCTCTGTGGAGTGTGTCTATAGCGGAATCAGAGACTACGGCCCCCTAGGCCCAGCCCACAGTTCCTGGGTGAGTCTGGTTGGGAGCAGATACAGCACAGGAAAGGGAAACTTGTCACGGTGTACGGACAGTACCTAGCCCTGCCTGTGCCCACGGTTCGAGAAGCCCTCAGCACTCAGCTGAAAGCAAGATGATATTCCATTACATACAGAGGAGAATCCTGGGAATGTGGACATTTAGTGGCCTCTTCTTCCTGCCCTCTCTTCACCTCTAGTGTGAGAAGAGCTGACTCCAGAAGGCACAGGGCAGGCAGCTCCTTGTTTGACCAGATGTTCGGGCTCAGGGTGTTGCTACCTTCTCTAGACACACCCTTGCTGAGATCCCTGTCCAACCGAGGACAAGAGTTCTTAGCAGGGCACAGCTGGGACTGTTTGTTTGGGGGAAAACAGAAAATGACCGTCGCGATCTGCTTCCTCAGCATCCTGTGACTTCAGCTTGTTTGTTCAGATGTTAGTCTTGTGGTTAAAGCTCTCCTGACAAAAGGATACTGCATTCCCTACGCACCGCAGGCCCAGAGTTTTCACTTTGGCTTTGGAGAGAATGACACAGTGTTTGCATTGCCTCTCTCTACAAAGCGGGACCTAATTCCTCACCAGATCATTGGTCAAGTCCTCATTTAATCCATGTCTATTACACCACTGTAAATAAAATGTAGTTGACATTTCAACTTTTTGTTTTGAAATTCTTATGTGGTTAGGTTTTTAAAATAATTTAGTCATACTTTAAGAATAAAAGTACATTACTTAAGTGTACAATTCCATGAGTTTTTAACAGGTACGCATATTCATTTAATCACAAAAACAATTAGAATGCAGAAATTTCCATCACTTATAAATGCCTGTTTAAACTTCTTTATGATATCTCTGTCTGTCTGTCTGTCTGTCTGTCTCTCCCTTGCTGCAGAGCTACTAATTTGACTAGAGGTTGGTTCATTTCTGCCTGTTTCAGAGTTTATAATAGCAGCTTTGCTCCTAACTTAAATTTCAAAGGCTTTTGTTGTGGCTGTTATGGAATTTGTTGACCTTTGCTCCCATTTCATTTTTATGATATTAATAACTTTGTCAATTCTTCATATTTTCTCCATCACCCTTTATAGCATTGGCCTTGTACTCATTCCCCAAGCTGGCCGTTCCCTTCCCGCCTTCTGTTTTGATCACTGTCCCATTATACAAATCTGAACCCAATGACAGAGCGTAATTCTTTTATTTTAGTGAGGACATTTCTCTTTTTATTCTTGTCATTGAAACTCAAGTTTCCACAGAACTGACAAGCCATAACTCAAGCTGAAATCTGTAGACTGCCTTTGAAGCTGCCCTCGCTCTGGCTGTGCCCATGTGTGCTCTCCCAGTCGTTCCCAAAGCCATCGTCTTCACCAAGGGTGGACATCCTACCACGCAGCCCTGTCTGCTGGGCCCTTCGGTCTCACTGTTGCCTTTGTCTGGGTGCCCACACCAGTCTTTCCGGCTCTTTCCCCCCACAAACTCTGACATACAGACCAGCATACCACTGGGGTGTTAGTTGGCCCCTTGCATTCCTTCCTTCAGAATCATCCAGAAGCCCCACCTATTCCAAGAAACTGTTACTGACTCCCACTATCCTCATTTAAGACTTCCCACACTTCTTCCAGGCCGGTGTCCTCAGTCGTAGGCTTCTGACTGTAAGTGCCCTTAGGCTTGGAGCTTTGTTCTTTGTTTGAAACAATCTTGTGTATTATGAGTGTTGGGTCTAATACTGTTTCTATAGAAATATAAATTCCAGAAAATGTAAAAACAAATGAACTACAAAAATGGTTATTTATGTTGCTAGAGTGCTAAAGAGAAATACAGTGCCACAAAATTGAGCTTTCAAAGGGACAGCTGAATAAAAGGCACAAACATGGTAAAAGCATGCATTTAAAAACCAGTAAGGTAAGGAGCCAGATGTGCAGGTTCATGGCCGTGATCCTAGTTCTGGGGATGTTAAGGCAAGACTGTCATGACTTTGAGGTCAATCTGGACCACACAATGAGTTCTAGGCAGCTTGGGTTATAGAGTTAAGATTCTTTCAAATTAAAATGCCCACAAAAATAATCAAGAGAGGGAGGCAGGTGGATCTCTGTGAATTTGAGGCCAGCCTGATCTACACAGTGAGTTTCAGGATAGCCAGGGTTGTTATACTGAGAAACATGCACAATCAGTTCTACATAAAATTATATTTGTAATAATACTTTATGTCATGGTACATATATTATTTTTAATCATTTAATTCCTCCTATGTAGAAAGTTTTAAATGTAGTTTTCTTTCTTATAAATAATGCATATTATTATGAACTATTCAAAAGTTTCACAAAATACTATTTTTAATACTGTTAGATGTAAAAGCTACATCTCTTTCCCTTTCATTGGGTTTTTATAAACAAAACATCATGTTTGGGTGTTTAAGTGCTTGAGTGAAAAGCCCTTTTCTCCTAGGTAATCACAATAATGGGATTGTGGCTTCTCACGCTTCAGATCATCTAGAAAAGTGCCGCCAGACTTTCCAATGTCCTGTTTTTGAGTTCTAATCCAGTTTTATAAGACCTACTAATAATTTCATAAAAAGATGATTCCCAAATCAGTGTTTTGGTGCCAAAAACCCCCAATGCACATAGGTATAGAGCTGGGGACAAGAAAATAAATATTTATGCGTTTAAGTCTTTGTAAGCAAAAGTGAGAAATTTCTCATTACAATCAATTAAGCTTGAAGCTAAACTATGGAGATAATTAGAGCTGATCAAAGAAACAAAAGAATAATAGAACATCACAGAAACAAAACCTAAGGCATAGGATGCAGTAAGATAACGTTCCTAGGAAACATAGAGTGATTTTGAATGTTGGTGCCCCTCATGTCTCTTATTATTACATAACTGAGAGGGCTCCTTGGGAGGGAGGTTGGCCGGCTTTATTGCTTTTACAAGGTTAAAAAGGCTGAATTGCTATTCTTCTTGGAAATCGCATATCCCATAGAGAATAATTAAGACTAATAAGAAGATGGAAGCAGAACTATTAATCGAGTTAATGTTTTATTCTTTTTTTAATCTCTTCTAGGATGTCTTATTTGAAAGGAAGGTAAGCGCCACACGCTTTATTACTATGAATTACTCTAAAAATCTAGATTAGCAAACACAAGTGATTCACATCAGCTGTGACTAAATGAAAGCGTGCAATTCTTTTTAACACTAGCTACTTCACTTTGAGGAAGCCACATAATTTTATTTTTATGCCTCTGTATTTCAACTGTAGGTTAGAAAATTTTAGAAAAAATTTAGTGGGATTTGAGAGATTCTTTTTGAGATCAATGCTACTAAGTGACAAAATTCTCTTTACCTTGACATGAATTCTTTTATTCTAAGCATGGCTCAGACACTAACTGCTTTCTGGAGTCCTCTGGTTTGGAAGGTACTCCTGCTATTGGCCAGCATCAATCCAGTGTTCAGTTCCCTGCTGTTTGCTGCTGGGCTTGAGGCTCATTCCGTTTTCTGTTTTGAAGAGAACTGAACCAGATGAGAACAACCAATCAGAGCATTACAAAGGAAGCTAGCTGATAGCCATCCGTTGGAAAAGACATAGCATAAAAGGACACGGTTAGAAGGAAAGGTGGCTTTGAACATGCCAAGGACTCCTGAGCTAGGCTTTCTGCATCATGACATGGCAGCATCCGCTGAATGGTCTGTAACTCTAGAAGAACACAGAGAAAAACATCACTTTGTCCTGTTTGAGCAGGTTAGGCAGCTATCAAATGACTCATTTCGTTTTCAGAGGCATTAAAATAAAAACAGTGTGCATCCCGGAACTGACAAAATATGGTTCAAATCATGTTTTCTTTTGCTGAGTAGGGAGAAAATAATATTTACATATGACTGAGCTGTGATGTTTCCTACAGAAGGGAATGAGTAGAAATTCCAGAATTCCACAGAAAATGCTTATTCTTCTATTTTAACCAGTTCCTATAAGTAAATTGATAAAAAAATTGGTTTAACATAGGTTTTATTTAGCTATGGCAAAACTTAATAATACTTCAATAGCTGGCTCTTACCCATCCTGAGTTTTCCTATAATAATTTAATAGAGAGAGGAACTTTCTTGAAGGGAGTTTCAGTTAGTTATATACCAGGCGAGATTTGGCATGCTGGCATACACTGTATTTCAATGTGTATTAATACCATGTTTCTTGCCGATTCAGTGTGAACCCAAGATCTGTGGATGTGAGAAGGGCGACCCAGGCGACCCAGGGCCTCCTGTGAGTAGACGTCTGTGCTGTCCTTGGGGCTGATGAAGACAATGATGAACCTATTTCCAGAAAGGGCTGTGCAGTGTTGTTTCTAATTTGATAATTAGATCAAGAACTTCTCGATGATGAGACAACAATGTAGAAAGAGCTGATAGAAGATATTAGTAGTTTAGGTGATGCTTTATCTCCCCAGGGATGCAGCAATGCCATGTAGCCTCATGGAGAAGAAGTCAGTAGGATGCTTGGGGAATTAGGTAAATTCTGTAAAATTAAAGCCACCACTTAGCAAATGAGGCACAGTGGTAGGATTCACCGCAATTACTTATCACTGACCAATAGTGTCAGAAAGCATCCACACTGCGTGTTCTCTTACCTATGTGATTTGAAATATTGTCCTAAGAGTTTGGAAGTTCAAAGAGTAGGTTTCACAAAGCAAATGGACAGCATTTTTGAACTAGAGCTTGTATCTGAAGGTGGCAGCAAAAACACCTGCGTGTAGGTGAATGTGACATGTTTTACCCCGAGACTTGGGGTTACAGTTTTCTTCAAATAACTCTATTAACCAAGGCATTGAAGTGGGGGGATTTATTTCTTGTAAAATACAAAGTTAGAGTTATTACATGACAATATGCCAAGAAATAGAGGCCAAGGTAACTCAAGTGAAGGTTTAGCTTTCCTTTTCTCTAAGGCTGTTGTTGAACTTCTTACATTAAGAGCTTGCTGTGAACAATGGGCAAGAAAACTCATTAGCAGGAGCTAATTGACAAGTCCTGCCACTCAGAACTGTCACAATTTATAGGACTGAACCATCCATTTTGTGTTTATTTAGTGCCCTCAAAACCAGTTCTCAGGAAAGGAAGCATTTGCTGGTGTTTGGTACAGAATAGAAGAATTCCCTATTCTTATATCCGGAGCTGGTCCCCAGGTCTGAACCTCTTTGATCACAGAAAAGCAAGCTGACTTGGTAGTCATCCACAGTAGTCTGGGACAGAAACAACCCACTCCACATCTATCCATTAAGTCTTAAAAACCTTTGTATCAGTTTAATTTTGTTTGGAAAAATGGATGAGAAGTGACTGAGGATGAATGCAGTTGGGAAGACAGACATTATCCTCTCTAGAACATATGGAAGTTTTGTAGTTTTCCTGGTACAGTAAGGGGGGAACAGAGTTGAATATCAATTTACCTTGTTAAGGCTGAGAAATTTTCGATGCAGCTGGTCAGAAATTATTCAAGAGCATAGAAAAATGATAGAATATTTAACAAAAACAAGTTTTTTCCCCATTTACTTTCAGGGTACACATGGAAACCCTGGTATCAAAGGTGAGCGAGGACCAAAAGGAAATCCGGTAAATGAATAAACCATTTTCTGTGAAGCTTATACATACATCATGTATATTTATTTAGACAATGTCTTCATAGGTTTTCTTTGTTCTTTTGCTTTGTTTTGTTTCTGTCAATTTGACCCAACCTAGAGTTATTTGAGGAGCAAATCATTAATTGAAAAAAAAATGCCCCCATCAGATTGCCTATAGGCAAGTCTGTACTGCATCTTCTTGATTAATAATTGATATGGGTCAGTCACATGGCAGGTGCCATCCCTGGGCACATGGTCCTGAGTTATATAAGAAAGTAGTCTGAGTAAGCTGCCAGGAGCAAGTCAGTAAACAGTTTTTCTCTGTGGCCTCTGCTTCGATTCCTGCCTCCATGTTCCTGTCTTGAGTTCTTGCCCTGACTTCCTTCAGTAGCAGAGTGTGACCAGAAGCTGTAAATGGAAACAAGCTGTTTCTTCTTTAAATTGCTTTAGGTCATAATTTCTTATCGCAGCAATAGAAACTACAACTTAAGTTAAATCATTCTTGATGAGCCAAGAACTCAGTCTCAGACTCCTGAGTGCTGGCATTAGAGACATGAACTATCACATTCATCAATTTCTGTAGTATACAAAAAGCTGATAAGAAAATATCAAGTTTCTATTAAGTAAAGAGACAAATTATGCAAATCACTTTAAAGAAAAGAAATAAAATTAATAAAGGAGAAAATAAAGATTTTCATGGAGTTAACAAAAGAAATTTGGCCAAGCAAAGGGTCCTCTTTAAACATAACTATGTATATATTTGGAGAGTTTGAATTCCACAGGATGTTTCTTTAAAAAGAAAAAAATTTTTATAGTTCACAGTCTTGGTTTTGGTGTTTTGAGTTTCAAGAAATGTTTCTTTTCTTTTTCTGTACAACAATAGAAGCTTCAACTTTAAGTAATAATAATTAGTGATATTATGTGTGAGGCCCTTGCTCTCTGTGCAAGAACTTGGCACACACATTTTGGGAAGAAATTAGGCAATACTTAAGAAGCATTAAAACACTCAAACTTTACTCCCATTTCTAAGAATATTATAATACCTTTAACACTATTTGCATGAGAATATTCTTGGCGCTAGCCCGCTTGCCGAGGAGAAGGGATATGTAACTTTCTTGGCGCTTGCTACAAAACTATCTCAGGTTCACTTCATCTATCTATCAGGTCCCACTGATGCCATCACGCCTTCTTTTGTTGTGTTCAGAACTAGGCTCTAGGACAATATTCACTTTTCATTAGTTTGGTTTGTAGTTCTGTGCCCCATACTTTATTTTCCTAAGTCTTGCTGAAATCAGGCATCTCTCTTGAGGAACATTTTAGAAAATAGTCAAAGCCCCTTGGAGAAAAGCCAGAGTGTCATGTTCCAGAAAAACACAAAGCTGTGTTTGAGAAAAATACCATGTTGTAAACTGGAATGTGGCTGAAGTTGTGAAAATCTATCTGTGTTATGTGCCCTGAACATCTGGCTTTACTCCAAAAGGCCAAACCTTATCTGAAATGCTATTTTCCTCTTAGATTAAATGGTGCAAATGTCAATAATTGAAGCTTAAGATTCCTTCTCTAATTGGGTTAACCCATTATCTAGGAATAGCACGTTTTATTGGGCAATCAATCACTTGCTGAGGAATTTTGACTGAGTTTGTTGTTTATTGCAGGGTGATGCTCAGAAAGGAGAAACAGGAGAAAGAGGTCCTGGGGTATGTGCAAAATTGGAATGCGTTTCTGACAGTTCATCCTGGGATTCTGTGACTGACTGGCTTAACCCTGCAGTGCAATTGCAAAATTGATTGCTACTTACCCGTGCTCTTGACGGTCAGACAGATAGAATCTCAGACGGAGAACTATGGGGAGAAAATGCTCTGATCAACAGGGTGGTGATGGGACCTATGACATTTCCCAATGCCCAGCTGAACTATTTGGGAAAGACTGAAGTGACAAAAGCACTTTGCCTTACTTCTTGTGGATATTTTTTCTTAAATGATAAAAATTAAGCTAGAATTTGCACAAGGGTAAGAATTATATTTATTATATTTTCCAAACTATGCTTTTGTCAGTTCGGTTCTGTTGGCAAAAATAACTTTATCATTCTGCTTAGTTTCTTGAGATTGCTTGGGAAATAATTATGGTATGTTAATACATTTTGAATTTTGCATCATCTTCTAGGGCATTGCAGTAAGGACAGCAAATGGCAACGCCTATAGTGAGAAGCAGGGCTTGCATTGCGTTGCCCCTTTTTGCTTATCCCCTTGGCAACAGTAAACAGTCACAGAATCAGAACCTGAGTTTTAAGAAACTGGTCTCTTAGAGTTTTTAATTATTCCCATGGAAGCCTCTGCCAGGAAGCTTGATCCCATCGATAGGAGTTTGTTTGAACTTCTGCTACCTGTTCAGGAAGTACTTCTTAGTTGTCTTCAAGAACCCCAAAGCTAGGTTTCCTAGGTGATGGGAAGCCCCTGAAACTTGAGGTGGGGTACATAGCTCAGGAGCTGTGAAAGAACCAAATTATTTTAAACAAGAACTTGGAGTGAGGACAAAGAAGAGAGAGAACTAAGGCGATTGTAAATTTGACCCTGGAAAATTTTTGTAAAAACATTTTTGACCCTATAACTTGAAGTATGATGGTACTTGAAATCATAAAATTTTTATTCCTAGAAATGAGAAAATCAGAAGCAAACTTGGCAGAGATTGGTAATACAGCCTGTGATATTTTAAATTGGAATTTTTAAAGCCAGTGATTAAGAGGCCATGGAAGGGAAAAACAAAGAAGTAAATAAACTCCTGAAGAGGTGACCAACTGATAAAGTGGCCAGGAATTTCAGAAGAAAACAAGACTATACCAGGAACAAAGTAATACTTCTTTGTTTCTGCAGAGTTCTATTGGCTCATTCCAAAATGTATTCTTCCCTCTTTCAATATAGAGCAATAACAAAAATTCTAAGTGGTGGAGCACTGCAATGGGTAGAGGACATCCCAAGAATTCTGAAATGAGAAGCCAACATAGTCTTGGCATAATGAATGCGGATGATTTCTGCAGGAAATACCAGATTAATGGACTAAAATGTGGTCTTTAATTCCAAGCACCATCTTGGAAATCGAACAATTTATGTGAACAAATATTTCTACGCTGAATAAAATTATGCTGTCGCTCTATCGTTGGCCAACTCTACTTTCAGCTTCTATTACTAAGCACCCACTAATTTAGAAAGAAGGCTTGTTTCCTCTCTGAAATTCTTATCTGGAAATGTTACACATGAGATGAAATAAACTTTTTGTAGGATGCATGGGTAACTGCAGTATTACCTCGTTCACGCCCTTGGTTCCTCCAGTTTGCATTAAATACGTCTTCCAATTCTATTTTCATCCTTGAAATACAGTTGTAGGATAATGATGGAAAGAACTTGCTGTTTCTTGGAGTGGGTAATTTACCAGTCCATTTAATACCCAGAATTGTGTCTCTCAGAGGGCTTATAGGAATGACACAGTGGAAAGGATTCCTCAGGATTCCCACGAGTGACTCAGAAGACAGTCGAGGTGCTGGCGTCTCACTTAGCGTGAGATAAAAACCAATAACTCAAAGGTCACTGACTCATTAGGGCTGATAGAGGAACCATTCATTTCCCCGATGTTCTAGGATACATTCTAGACTGAATGGGAAGGGAAGACCATGAAGGACACAGACATTTACGAATATTCTAAAGGGCATCATCTCAGCTCATTTCAAACCCAGCCTCCCTAACAGACCCAGAGGTTCAGCGACAATAGTTTAATAGTTTTAAAGTCTGTAGAGACGGTTGAAAGCACCGTTGTCTGTTGGTTATCATGTGCACAGTGACTTGCAGTGTGCACTCTCTCCTTTGGTTTGGTTTGGGCCAAAGGGTAACGAGAAACAGAAAGCTGGAACTGGGACTAGAATGTAATAGAAAGCACAGGTTCATTCTTCTCCTTAGTAACCAACCGCATATCCCCTAGGGGAGGGAAATGTAAAGAAGCCTGAGCTTATGTGCTCTTACTTCCAAGACTGGTTGATGGGATTTGTATGTGAAAAATACCAAGTGCTTCCTCTAATATTGTTTTAAAGTATCTTACCTTAGCCTTTCATTTCTCTTTTAACCTAGGGAATTCCTGGCTACAAGGGTGACAAGGTAAGTTGGTAACCTCTAGTTGACCAGAATTTTAGAAATAAGAATGTACACATAGTATACTTACGCACTGCTATTGCCTTTCCTCATTTCCGAGTGTACTCTTGAGTCAGTTAGTGTGGACTAATATTGAATGTAAGATATGGATATGTGTTGTAGAGGGTGGAGGCGCCCCTAAGAGTCCAGTGTCGCTCTAACTCTGAAAACATGGATTTTACTTTACAGAACCTGATTTGACAAAAAGAAAAGCAGCATAGGTTTTCAGATAAAAATATTTCTCCTGCATCCAAATACAGCAGTGCTAGCGCTTAGAGTAAGTCGCTGTGTTGTTGCTTATGTTCTGTGAGAACCCAGATTCTGACCACCTCCTAAAGGAAGGAGAGGCTTGGCTGTGCATAAGCAACAAGAGTGGGAACTGTACAGGAAGCACTTCCGGGCCCTTTGAACATCAAGGCTTACAGCTTCTCTTTTTGTGGAAAGAACAGGCTATAGGAAGTTTAGGGCTTTGGTTTTGAGGTCAGACTGCATAGATATTTAAGCTATCTATTTGTTGTTCTTTGTTTGATTTTTTTCAAACCAGATCCTCATCTCTCCCAGGCTGGCCTCCAACTTGCTATGTAGTAGAAAATGACCTCCTTCCCCTACTTCCTATCTTGGGAAACAAGTATGTTCTGACACTTCCAGTTCATCTGGTGATAGGGATAGGACCCAGAACTCCAAACCATACTGGGCAAGCACTCTGCCAAAGGAGCTGCATCCCAGCTCTATTTCTTTCTTTCATTCTTCCTATCTATCTATCTATCTATCTATCTATCTATCTATCTATCTATCTATCTATCTAATGTAGAAGGAACATAATTTTATTTGAAACTACACACATGTAGATTTCAGAACATAAATAAATCTGTTACTTGTGGCTTTTACCAAATTAAGTTCCTTTTTTGAAATTTTGTGGACTGAACTAGGGACTCGTATATACGAGGAGGTATACTACCTCATATCCATATCCACACACAGCTCATCTGACTGGATTTATTCATCCACCCAGAAGCACTTTCTTTTTCTTTGTTTTTATTGAGCTATATATTTTTCTCCACTCACCTCCCTTCCTCTCCCTCCCCTCCTACCCTCCCCCATGGTCCCCATGCTCCCAATTTACTCAGGAGATCTTGTCTTTTTCTACTTCTCATGTATTTTAGATCCATGCATATCTCTCTCAGGGTGCTCATTATTGTCTAGGTTTTCTGGGATTGTGATTTGTAGGTTGGTTTTCTTTGCTTTAGTCTAAAAGTCACTTATGAGTGAGTACATATGATGTTTGTCTTTCTTGGTCTAGGTTACCTCACTCAATATGATGTTTTCTAGATCCATACATTTGCCTGCAAATTTCAAGATGTCATTATTTTTTTCCTCTCTGTACTACTCCATTGTGCAAATGTACAACATTTTCCTTACCCATTCTTTGGTCGAGGGGCATTTAGGTTGTTTTTAGGTTCTGGATATGACAGACAACGTTGTTATGAACATAGTTGATCACAAGTCCTTGATCATTCTTTGGGTATATACCCAAAAGTAGTATTGCTGGGCCTTAAGGTAGGTTGTTTTCTAATTTTCTGAGAAATCACAATACTGATATCCAGAGGGTCTGTGCCAGTTTGCATTCCCACCAGCAATGCAGAAGTGTTCCATTTACCCCACATCTTCTCCACCATAAGTTGTCATCAGTGTCAGTGTTTTTGATCTTGGCCATTCTGACAGGTGTAAGATGGAATCTTAGAGTTGTTTTGATTTGCATTTCTCTGATGACTAAGGATGTTAAGCATTTCCTTATGTGTCATTCAGCCATTTTAGATTTCTCTGGTGAGAGTTCTCTGTTTATGTCTATACCCCATTTTTATTGGATTATTTGTTCTTTTGATGACCAACTTCCTGAGTTCTTTGTATAATTTGGAGATAAGCCCTCTGTCTGATGTGGGGCTGGTGAAGATCTTTTCCCATTCTGTAGGCTGTTGTTTTGTCTTGTTGGCCATGTTCTTGGCTTTACAGAAGCTTTTCATTTTCAGGAGATCCAATTGATTAATTGTTTCTTTCAGTGTCTGTGCTATTGGAGTTATATTTAGGAAATGGTCTTCTGTACCAATGCATCCAAGTGTCCTTTCCACTTTCTCTTCTATGAGGTTCAGTGTGGTTGACTTTATGTTGTGGTCTTTGATCCATATGAACTTGAGTTTTGTACATGGTGATAGATATGAATCTATTTTCATTCTTCTACATGTTGATATCCAGTTATGCCAGCACCATTTGTTGAATATGCTTTCTTTTGTCCATTTTATATTTTTTGCTTCTTTGTCAAAAATCAAAGGTTCATGGGTTAGTGGACTGATATCTGGGTCTTTGATTCGGTTCCATTGGTCCTCCGTCTGTTTTTACGCCAATACAAGGCTGTTTTTAGTATTGTAGCTCTGTAGTAGAGTTTGAAGCCATTGCTTTGGGTGAGATTCTGACTACCCAAGAGCATGGGAGATCTTTCTCCTTTCTGGTGTCTTCTTCATTTTCTTTCTTCAAAGATTTAAAGTTCTTGTCATATAGATCTTCCATTTGTTTGGTTACAGTTACTCCAATATATTTTTTATGCTATTTGTGGCCATTCTGAAGGGTGATATTTCTCAGATTTCTTTCTCAGGCCATTTATCATCTGTAAAAGTGATCTACTAACTTGTGAATTAATCTTGTATCTTGCTACATTACTGAAGGTGTTTAAGAGTTGTTTAAGAACTATATTGAATAAAGATGGAGAGAGTGGACAACTTTGTCTTGTTCTTGATTTTAGTGGGATTGCTTTGAGTTTCTCTCCATTTAATTTGATGTTGGCTATTGGCTTGCTGTATATTGCCTGTATTATGTTTAGATATATTCCTTGTACCCATGCTCTCTCCAAGACCTTTATCATGAAGGGATATTGTATTTTGTTGAAATCTTTTTCAGCATCAAATGAGATGATCATATAGTTTTTTTTTCAGTTTGTTTATATGGTGGATTACATTGACAGATTTTCATATGTTGAACCATCTCTGCGTCTCTAGGATGAAACCAACTTGATCATGATGATGATTTTTCTGATGTGTTTTTGAATTTGGTTTGCCAGAGTTTTATTGAATATTTGTGCATCAATGTTCATGAGTGAGATTGGTCTGTAATTGTCTTTCTTAGTAATGGCTTTATGTGATTTGGGTATCAGGGTAATTAAGTCTCATAAAAAGAGTTTGGCAGTGTTTCTTCTGTTTCTGTTGTGTGGAAGAATCTGAGGAGTATTGGTAGTAGTTCTTTGAAAATCTTGTAGAATTTTGTGCTGAAACCACCTGGTCCTGGGCTTTTTTTGGTTGGGAGACTTTTGATGATTATTTCTATTTCTTTAGCAGTTATATGTCTATATAATTTATCTGGTCTTGATTTAATTTTGGTAATTGATATTTATCCAGAAAGCTGTCCATTTCCTTTAAGTTTTCCAATTTTGTGGAGTACAGGTTTTCTAAATATGACCTAATAATTCTCTATTTCCTCCATGTCTGTTGTTATGTCCCCTTTTTCATTTCTGATGTTGTTAATTTGGATATTCTCTCCTTTTGGTTAATTTGGATAAAGGTTTGTTTATTTTGTTGATTTTCTAGAAGAACCAACTCTTTGTCTCATTGATTCTTTATGTTGTTTTCTTTGCTTCTATTTTGTTGATTTCAGCTCTCAATTTGACTATTTCCTGCCATTTAGACCTCCTGCGTGTGTTTGCTTTTTTTTTTTTTTTTTTTTTTTTTTTTTTTTTTTTTTTTTTTTTTTTTTTTGTTCTTGAGTTTTCAGGTGTTCAGTTAATTTGCTAGTGTGGGATTTTTCCAGCTTCTTTGTGTAGGCATTTAGTGCTATGAACTTTCCTTTCAACACTGCTTACATTGTGTCTCATAAATTTGGGTATGTTGTGTGGTCAGTTTCATTGAATTTTAGGAAATCTTTAATTTCTCCCTTCATTTCTTCTTTGACCCATTGCTGATTCAGGTGAGCATTGTTTAATTTTCATGTATTTTTGGGCTTTCTGGAATTAGTGTTGCTGTTGAATTCTAATTTTAAGACATGGTGACCTGATAAGATACATGGGTTATTCCATTTTTTTTGTATCTCTTGAGATTTGCTTTGTTACCTAGTATGTGGTCAATTTTTGAGATGGTTCCATAAGGTACTGAGAAGAAGATATATTCTTTTATGTTTGGATGGAATATTCTGTAGATGTCTGTTAAGTCCATTTGAGTCATAACATCTGTTAGTTCTCTTATTTCCCTGTTCATTTTTTGTCTGATTGACCTGTCCAGTGGTGAGAGGGGAGTGTGGAAGTTTCCAACTCTTAGTGTGTGGGGTTTAATGTGTGATTTAAGTTTTAGAAGTCTTTCTTTTACATTTGAGGGTGCATAGATTTTCAGTATTGAGATTTCTTCTTGATGGATTTTTCCTGTGACTAATATGAGATGTCGTTCTTTGTCTCTTTTGATTGAGCTTTGTTTGAAGTCTATTTTGTTAGATATTAAGATAGCTACACCAGCCTGTTTCTTAGGTCCATTTAATTGGAAATTTTTTTCCCAACCCTTTACTCTGAGGTGATGTCTGTCTTTGAGGTTGAAGTGTGTTTCGTGTATGCAGAAGGATGGATTCTGTTTTCATATCCAATCTGTTAGCCTGTGGCTTTTTTATAGGTCAGTTGAGTCCATTGATATTTAGGAATATTAATGACCAGTGATTACTATCTCCTGTTATTTTAGTTTTGGTTATTGGTGATGTTATTGTGTGTGTTTTTGTCTTTTTTGGAAATTGCTGCTGTGAGATCATTTGTTGTCTGTGTTTGTAGATGTAGTTAACTTCCTTGGGTTGGAATTTTCCTTCAAGTACTTTGTATAGGGCTGGGTTTGTGGTTAGATATTGGTTAATATCTGTTTCTGTTCTGGAATATCTCATTTTGTCTGTCC